TAGACACACCCTGGATCAGGGTCGACGCCCGGCGTCTTGCAGCCGGCATACGGCGTCGACTTCGCCTCAGTAAAGAGGTTCTTTGTCACGGTGAGACCAAGGTGAACACGCACTCTGCGTCGATGGGTGTCACCCTCACTTTCTGCTCATATGGAGCTCCGATGTTATCTACAATATCCGATGGAGAATTACTAACCCCGCAGTCTTCGTCCAGTGGATAACTTTCCACTCTACGCGCATCTGAAGGGTCGTGCTCAAAATGCCTCGGACTCTGTCCGACCACGCCATCAATGGCATGCAGCGACTGCTTCGCAATGAGAGCAGTGCTCAGTGGTTTTCGTGCCACTCCACGTGCATCACGAGGACCTCGCCCTCGACGCCTCGAACCTTGGCCGACCATGTCACGCATGACATGCAGCGACTGCTTCGATACTTGGCATCGCTCAGTGGGTTACGTGACACTCCACGATCAGCCCGCGAGCCACGCTCGGGTCTCCTGTCCAATGCGCCGTTGGTATCCACCAACTCGGACATTCCAATGTCCAGCATGTTGACCGTCTCGATCCAGTGCTCTCGCTTATAGCGCTTTTGTCTCCTAGCAGAGGTGGGTTCATGACTCGCGAAAGTTCCACCGAAGACGTGCGCGTAGCGCTCAAGGTCTTTGACCTCCAATAAATACATGGCTCGTGGTTTTCCAGCCTTGCCATTTCTAAGATCAGGTCTTACCTTGCATCCAAGTCTAACACTTGACAGCGTTCCACGCTATCAAAGTCAAGGAACTTGACTCCGAGATCCACAGGGACCTTCGGGACCGTGACACGTGTCCCTATCGCTAGGCGAACAGTGACGATGTCACCCAAACGCGCTTTCGGCGCCTCAGCGCCTCAGCATATAGCTAACTTCCTTCGACCGTGGAGCGTCGAGCATAATTGCCCGACGCCCCAGAATCGATGAGGATCTTACATGGCTTCTCAAAGCCCTTTACGGTCGCCTCTTCGCTCAGCAAGCCCGGCTTGCACACACTTTCCGTGTTTATGAGCACGGTGCTCTTCGGGGCTGGGCCCTGTTGACCTATGCCTCCCTGAGGCTCAACAGAGCTCAGTTCGTACCCAGTAGGTCGCCCCATGCCTACTGAGCGCTGTTGTTTCCCCGCGACGAACCAGACTGGTAGGCATTGGGACGATGGTTCGAAGAACCTTGACGCGCCTCACGCACGGGACAACCGTTCCGCAGGTGACGGGTTTCACCACAGAAAAAACACTGTCGAACACGTGTCTATGCTGCCCGGCTGCTCGGAGCTCTGCTCACCTCATCCTCAGCATAGCTGAGATCAATGGGTATAGGCCGCTCGACGGGCTGTTGGAGTGTGCATTCCAACCAAGTCATGCCGACTTGAAATTAAACTCGACATTCAATGCCACATTCACCGCCGCTTCAAATAAGAACGGATTCACACGGAAGACTTCCATTCTGGCCACGCCAGTGCGGACGCCTTCTACAAACACGGTCACTGTGACCGCCTCCTGGAGGGGACCTGCTGCCATCCCGGCAATGAGAGTTCGCAACACTTGGTCAAAGTCCACCAATTCCTTGTTGCCCTGTCGGGCGGCAAGGAAACGCGATCGCAAGCGATACGCCTAAATTAGGCGAGAACACTCGTGAGAGCTGCAATTTAAGCTCTACCCAGGAGGAAAACGCAGCTCCGACCGAAGTGCCGCACGTCAGTTCCCATTCTCGCGCTCT